GGTTGTTCTCCTTCCAGTTCCCATTTAACACAGGCACTGGTGTGTCTTGCAGCCATGGGGCAACCTGACATCTCCTATTCCAAAATATCTGTGCTCCCTGAACTACATGTTATCTGTGCTCCCTGAACTGCATGTGTTATGTGTCACTGTATGTGTTAAGTATATTTGAAGACAGTGACAGAAAGCATTTTTTATGATTTATTTGAAGTTTGCAGTACTATGTAAATTCTGGTACATATGTCCAAGTTGGGTGTCTTCAGCTTCAATATTCAGCTTCAGCTTGGGCTGCTGTGAAGGCCAGAGATGAAATGCCTTCGAGTGCCAGCTGGCTGTTTCAGGTGAACCTAAGATAAAACCAGGCCCATGTCTTCACCCAGGCTGCCATTCCAGCTGTAAGGGCACAGGGATAATTAGGAATTCCTTTTTCCTGGCTTCTTTATTACCATTGTCTTGGTTCTTATCAGGTAAACTTGCACCGTTGTATTGACATCTTCTCTTAGAGAGCCTTTAGTTCCCAAAGTAAAAACTAAAATGTTTTTGAGAGAGGCTTACTATGTAAAATAAATAATGACATTTTAGCTGTATTGCTTTTGAGCTCATACCACACTTTTGGTAATTCTGAAGCAGCTTTGGGCTGTTAGTTTTTCAGTTGACTTCATGGTTACTCTGTGTAAAATCCATGTTTGTTTTTTTCAGCACAAATTTACCAAATTGCATGTATCTTATCTGAGTTACATTTTTGCCTAGTCCTTACTCAGAGGTACAGACCTATCTCTAATGGAAGCAAATACTTTTAAGGTCTTTGGGGGGTTCTGTGTTTTCTGCAACCTGGCAAACATCTGCTTAGAAATACCTCAATTTTAGTGTTGCCTCAAGTAGAAGGGATAAGGATTAGGTCCTGTGCTGTAACCACAAAAAATGAGGAGAAAAGGAAATGGAAGGTGTAAGCACAGCCAAAACTTGGGTGTTGGCAGCAGAAGACACAGTGTTTTCTGGGGTGGCTGTGAAACTGTGTCTCTTTCTGAAACAAGCTGTTGATGCAGTAGTTAAAGCACAGGGTAACTGCAGGGGGCTGAGTCACTGGAGTGTGCAAGGGAGGGAAAGAAATGAATGCAGAAATTTACTGCAACCTTTGAAAGCCTTTAAAGCTTTTTGTACCAGAAATTTTATTTTATGCCAGCCAGCCTCTGTCTTGGGCCCTTGAAATATTTGGGCCCTGGGTTTTGTGGCGCCATTTCACATCCCATAAAGGCTTATGACTGGCTGTGTAAATGCATGCTGGGGACTTGGCAAGTCAGACTTGTAAAGCAGTTCAGAGGATGCTGGGGAGAGCGAGCCTGTAAGAGTTTGGCTGCTCGGGCTCCCAGGCTCCCAGATCTGAGGTCCCTGTGGAAGCAGCCTGGCTTCCCTGCTCAGATCTGGGACAAACCCCTCTGTGCTGAGTCTCAGATCTGTGCACAGCAGGGATGAGGCCTCAGTCTGACACAGCAAATGGAACTTTATCTAAAGAGAGCACATTTCTCACTTTTGGGTACAGTTTAGAGAGCCAGAGCACAAAGTAGTGACTGAACCCAGCCAGTCTTGGGTGGTGACAAAATGCTCCAAATCCCTGCCTGGGAAAGCTGCTAGAAGAAACTTGTGTGTGCTTTTGACCCTTTCCCCTCTCTCTCCTGGTGAAAGGAGGTGGTCCAAGCAGAGAGCAGCAGAAATACTCCTGTGGGAACTGACAGTTCTGTGACCACACTCCCTGAACAGTGCCCATAACTGAGAAAGGCCTGGCATGTAATTCTGAGCATTTCCCATCCTAAACAAGGCTGAAGCTAAGGGCTTTTCTTAATTGCCAAAATGACAATGGTTTCTGTTGTGCAGGGACATCCACTTCAGAAACTCTTACACTGCTGTTTGTCAGTGCCTGGATGTAAAAAAGGAATGCGCACAAGGCCACGCAGAAGGACTGTCATGAGAGTTCCCTCCTGTGACAAGGAGTCCAAAAGCTACAGGAGCTGAAAGTTTAATGTCCATTTTAGTGTGGAAGACTGGCTTTCAGTTAACCCAGGAGTAGCACTTAATGGAAGGTCTAAAGGGGGAGAGTTTTCTTCATGACTTTGCTGCAAGTGTGTGAGGGCTCCTGTGCAGTTCTGTTGCTGTGGGGACTCCTGTGCAGCTCTGTTGCTGTTCCCAGTTTGCTGCTCCAAGGAACTGTGGCTGCCCCATCCCTGGATGTGTTTGAGGCCAGGCTGGATGGAGCTTGGAGCAGCCTGGGCTAGCAGAAGGTGTCCCTGCCCCTGGCAGAGGGGTGCACTAGGTGGTCTTTAGGGTTCCTTCCAACCCAAACCTTTCTGTGGTTTCTCTTTGCGTGCCACAAAGGAGAAATCCAGCACATTTTTTGGTGGAATACCAAGTGTCAGTTTGTCTTTTTTGCTTGTGGCAAGGTTTTAATGAAATTCTTCAGGTACTTTTCATTTGGTTCTCTGAGAAAACATAATAAAAACCTGCAATCGTTCTCCTAATTTATGCAGAAAAGCCTTCTTTCACAAGGGCAGTGTCTGCTTCAGACAGTGGGTGTGGAAGAAGCAAAACCCAGTGCAGTGAGGGAACTTCTGCACAGGCTGAACAGCAATCCTACAGGAAAACAGTGTTGCTGGCCGTTTGCTTTTTGACTTGGCTCTCAACTTCTTCACCTTCAGGGATCCTGAAGTTCCTCCATAAATGGGCAGAGAGACACTAAGGCTGTATGGAGTCACCCCGTTCCCAGTGCAGAACGATCAGGTGTGTCTGCTCCTGGACTTGGATACAGCGTGGGAGGGTGAGATGAGCAGGGCTGTGAGGGCGGGCAGGGGGAGAGAGAGGAAGGAAAGGACAGAAAATAGAAACAAACAGTGAGCACCCACTGCTCTGCAGCATTGCACGGGCTGCAGCCAGGGCTGAGTTTTTCCAGGACTCACCAAGTCACAGGTGTTGACCTGAAACACTGACACAGATCTGGGTGGGAGCTGTGTGCTGATGTGTTACCTGTGCATTGTAAGTGCAGCTCTGCTTGATTCTGTTGGTCATGCAGAAGTTTTTTCTGCAAGACCCTCCCTCATTTCCTGGGAGACTCAAGTGCAAGTAATGATTGATTAACCTCAAGGTGTTGTATGTTCAATGCATGGGAATTTTTAAAAGACACTTACTGCTTTGTGAAATCAGTGACAGTAGACTTAAAACTTCGAATCAAGCAAAAAAAAATCACTTGGCTTTTCTGTACAGAGGTGGATGCTTATAGCCATAAAAATGAGCTGAATGTGCAGCTGGATGACCTTTAGCATGCACCATCAAACCCCAGTGCCTTGAGCATTGGTATGGAAATCTGATGACAGCTCAATAAAAAAAGCCATGTTTCAGCATGGGTGAAACAAAGTCTTCCAGGGTGGGGAGAAGGCAAAGAAGGTGAAGAGGAAAATAGAATGTTTCTTGAGAATGACAGGCTTGAAGATGACAGGCTGCTCTAGCAGGAACTCCCAGCTGCAGTCCTGGCCCAAGGCACTTGCCGAGCAAGGACTGTGACACTCCAACCCCTTTGGCTTTGCAGAAGTGTCACCAGCAACCCTGGGCAGTGTCAGTCAGCACTGCCAGGGGAGCAGTGAGTGCTGCAGCTGAAACCCTGCACTTCATCCTGCTCTGCAGGGCTGGCACACAAACATTGCCCTGAAAGAGCTCCTCCAGGCACAGGGCAGGGTGGGAACGGACACACTGCCTGGCAGCCCTAAAGGCTGGGGCCATTAAATAAAAACTTTTTTATTATTGTTTTTTTTTATTACCTATTTTGCTGTCTTTGCTGTGAGGTTTCTTCTGGTTTTCCTGTTGATGTCCACAGTTCCACATCAGCATAGTGTTTGGAATGAGATTAACTGAGGAACATGGGACTAACTTTATCCCTTGTGCACGGCTGGTTCAGTGTGTAGTGTCTGCCTGATGACATGTATTCAAGTTTGTGTGCATATCATGTTTTCCTGTGTCATTTTTAGAAGGACAGAAAAGCTGTGATCCTGCTATAGAACCTTGGTTTTCCTGCTTCTGAAACAAAGTTAAACAGGTGGGAATCCTGTGGAGCTTTTTTTCACTGTGAAGTTCTGAAAGGTGAGTCTTGCTTGTTGAAGATTATCAATTTTCTCAATAATCTGAAAAGCATTTCAATGTTTTTGTGCTTGGCTTAGCATAAAAAAACCCTGAACATCACATCATCTTTGAGCACATTGTAACCTTCAGAATTTTTAACGAAGTATTCTTCAGGGCAAACACAATTCTGCACAATGGTACAAAAGCTTCCATGGGAGTCTCCTACTATTTCAGAGCTTCTCTGGTGGCATTTGGAAAACGTGAAGACAGTCTGGTTCCATGAATAGAAAAAAGGGGGAAATGTGAGAAAAGAGAACCTAGATAATTTGGAATAAATAATTCAAATCTGGGATAGTAGAAGGAAAATCAAATAAACAAAGAAAAACACACTAAAAAAACCCCAAACCAACTAAACAAATTTTCTAAAAAAATTCCACAAACTGATCACGGAAAGAAACAAAAAAGCCAAACCAAACAAACCCTAAACTTCCTTCCAAATCAACTTTTTCAAGTGCTTGAACAAGATTAGAGAGCAGCATAAAAGCAGGTATTTTATAGAAATGATGTATCAAAGAATGAAGAAGAATGAAGAAGAAAATGCTTTAAAGTTTAAGGAGAAACCTTTATTTCAGAAACCTGAGCATGTTTCTCCACCAGCGCAGAACTAGTGAGCATCTTCAGGCAGAGCACTGTGGGCAGATATGCACAGAGCATTTTTCAGTGCAGTGAAAATGGAGTATAGAGAGTATTCAAATGCTTGGCACAGTCACTTTCAGGGATTTATATAGCACTTTATATAGCACAGTCTGTCTTTATGAAATGACAGACTGATAAAAGTACTTCTGACTTAATGAGAGCTCTTAATGTACATTGGTAACTCTTGGGGATGTAATTGCAAGGGTGCAATCCTGTTTATTCTTGGGAAAATATCTGTTTTACTTGGAGGGAATAGGATTACATTTCCACAGAGCAAAGAGTAGCTGATGTGTACTACATGAATCTGCAACAGAGCAAAAGGGTGAAAGAAAATACTTCATAGAACATCAAAGAACTTCGAAGTTATGTTCAAGTTTTATTTGTTCCTACATCAGTTTCCAGTAGAAAAAAAATCACTTCTCTTCCCTCTGAATGCACTGTTAACTTTCTGCAAGTCTTGTGAATAAATAAAGTTTGTTTGCCTTGCAGTGTCTTTGCAAAGGAAGTTTTCATCCTGGCTTAGGGCCTGATGTTATCAGGGGAGGAGCAGCCTCCATTTTTCCCAGGTAAGAGTGTGCCTACTCAGACATGCAGGAGCATTCAAGTTAAAACCCACAATGCTTGAGATCTAGCTGCTGTTAATGCTGAAGGAAACCTGAAGGGAGCTGTAAAGAAATGTGAAGGTGTTTGTATGTTTTCATATGTGTATATATATTTATATCCATATATATAAGTATATACGTATGCACATATATACACATATATGTATGTTTGTATGGTTTGTTTATATACACATATATACAAATATATACACATATATATTTATATGTGTATGTTTGTATGTTTTTATATATGAATAAGGGGTTCTGACTGGAGGGTGCTGTACAGCAGCTCTTGGCTGCAGTGGAATTAAAGCTCACCCAGGGGAGAATGAGAAGTTCAGGGGGTTATGTGAACTGTTTGCTGCTTTATTCTGCAGCAGTTTGAAAAACTACTGAGAGAAGCTTTGCTCATAGCAGAAATTGAAGCAACAGGAAAGCTCTACCTGAGGTGCTGCTCAGGCCCTTCCTTCCCCTCCCTTCCTCTCACCTCTCCTGGTTCTTAGGAGCAGTTATTCTTCTGTGCTCCCTTTGGCCTCCTGTACACCTGCCCATGCATTTTCACTGTTTTTTTTCTGTTTGTTCATTTGCCTCTCTGGCTGAGATTATCAAAATCAGAACAGGAATTACTGCAGCATTCAGCTTCCCCAGGAAATCAGCTGCAGGGGATGGAAAGGGGCTTAGGTGGTGTCCAGCAGGAGCTCTGCTGGGGAACTTGTAGGAGGGGCAGAGTGTGAAGATTTATGAGAGAGAGTTCAGGTGAAGAAAAAGGGGTTCAGTGCTGGGCAGTTTAGGGCAGGATCTTCCCTGGGACACTGCTCAGCTGTGCAGGCAGCAGCTCTGACACCACGGGAGACGGGCTTGGAGGTTTGATAGGCAAGGCACTGGGAAACTCTTTTGGAGCCCTGCTGATGTTCCTACCCAGCTCAGGAAATGTTCAGCAGCCAGAGCAGTGGGTGCTGATGTGCAGTGGAATTGGCTTCCAGAGCCCTGGTGACCGTGGGGATTTATGGCAAAGCTGAAGGAGCTGCTGTAATAAAAGTGACATTCAAGGTCAACCTTTTTGCCTTTGTTTCACTTAAAAGAGAAAAGTGTGAGCAATTCTTCTCCTTAAGTTATTCTAGTGGAAAAGCATTGCTGCTTTAGAGATAGAGCTCCTCACACTGGATATCCATGGATATTTTGCTACACAATCATTTTCCTTTGTAATGAGAGAAAGTTATTTAGCCATTATCAGTAAATAGTGCATCTTAGAAAACCTGATGCTTTTCCTGACACTTTAATCTCTTTTTATATCCCAGAAAGCAAATAGCATCATGATTTTCCCCAAAGTATTAGTGAGATTTATTTTAAACCCACACAACCAAGCCTTGTAAACAGGTGTTAAGTCCTTTGGTGATGACTCTAAAGTAATGTTAATTTTTTTTTTTCTGTCACATAGCTTTTCATCTTACACTAGGATTATATGACTTTCTGTACCTCATATAGGATTAAAGTTTCAGCTGTCAGAAAGTTTTTTGGAAATGATTTGCACTTTTTGTAGTCAGAGTCCACATGTGACTTGTTCATTAGCTAAAGACCATCTCCCTAACAACAGGCTGGTGCAGGACACATCTTTAACTGCAGATTTTGAAGTGCGACTATTGTAGCTTGGGAGTCTCTTAAGGCATGAAAATATTTAATAGCATTGGGCTTTTGACTTCATTTCAGTGTCTGTTCTATAAGCTTGCTGTGCATGAATTAATATACAAAATTACAGGAAAATTAACAGCTCTAGCAGTTAGTCAAATGATGGAAAAACAGCAGTTCAGTGAAAACGTTCAGTATTTTCCACGGCATCACAGCCTGGAAAGGCTGGTGCCCTTTGGTGCCCTGTGGAACAGCCAGACGCCTCCGAGTGCTGCTGCTGGGATGGAGACCCTCTGCCGGCCCTTTGCTGCTGTGTTGCATTAACTCTTACAAACCTCTTGCCTTCGATACCAGCAGGTGAAACCGGCACGGTGTCCCCCTCTGGGCCACAATCAGCTCCCGCTGGCAATAGCCCAGCGCTGGAGTTGACAAAAGACCGGGGCAGCGTTCCCGGTTCCTGCGGTTCCCGGATCCCGCGGCTCGGCTCCGAGCTGCTGCAGGGCCCCCTGCCTGCTCGGGCCAGCCTGGGCTGCCCGTGCTCGGGCACACGGCGCCAGGAGCAAACCCCACGGGGGCAGTGGTTTTTTTGGGTGCTCAGGGAGGTACAAGGTGCCATAAACTCAGTTTTACCTTCGGCACTGCGCGTGTGTGTGTGAGGCAGGGCTGAACCCAGCGGAGCACAGCACACCCAAACTTCTGTTTGCTTAGGAGCAGACTTTGAGATCTTGCTCAGAGCAGAACAGGACAGGAGCCTTCCAGGCAGCCTGGCACAGCAGCTCTCTGATGTGTTTGTTTGTTCTCCTCTAATGGTGGGAGTTGCACGTGGCACCATTAGTACTGATTGAGAAGTGATTCTGGTGACAAATCGTGATTAACCCTGCTCGAAGGAGTGACAGACCGTGTTCTCACAGTGTCCACCCCAGACAGATGTCTTATTTTACCCTCTAGAACTGATGCAGCTTGAATTATTTTCTAGCTAATGTTTTGGTTTGTTTTGTTGGTTTTATTTTTTGAAAAACTTGCTAAGACTCCAGCACCTCAGTACTTTTTCAGTCTAAGAATTTGATGCTCAAAGACAGCCTACTGAAAAGTCATCTGTAAATTCCAAAAAGAAAGCGATGTTTCCACGTATTTTTTGTCACATTTCTGTCATTTGAGTACAGGAGAGGTTGGTTTCCTTGAGCCTGTCTCTTGCTGTGGGAGACCTCAGCTATTGAGGTTTCAGAGCTGAAACAACCTTGTTTAAGAGGTGTTGCCACCATGTGTGTGGGGAGTTGTGCTGGTTTGGGCTGGACAGAGGGAATGTTCCTTGTGGCAGCCTGTATGGTGGCATGGTTTGCTGTGTCCAGGCCTAGGTGCCTGCCATGGTTAAATTGCACTGGGGCCATGCCCAGATCAGGAAAACTGCCTGGATCCTGGGAGCTAGGAGTTACTGATTTAATGCTGTCAGTCCTGAAGTTGTAGTTTGCAGAATTATACAAACATCTTCTGTGATTTATTGCACAGCTGCTTATCAGAAAAGGACAAATGTATTTCAGGCTTGCTAAGTAATGTATGCATACAGCAGGCTGCTCTGTCAATGTCACATTAATTACCCAATAATATTGGACTTAATTCTTGGTGTAAACTTAGACGTGCATTCCCTTGCATCATAATAAATCATGTACTAAGCCACACCTGTTACTGCAAAAATGTTTCTAGCAAAGTTTATCCCCCCAATTAGCTGAGAAATGAACAGGAAGAGATTTCCCCTGTCCTCTATTTATTTCCTCAGGTATTAGAAATTTATTTCAGTCACTTGGTGTGGGCAGACTTTGCTGTTTAATAAGCACCAGTGTAGGATGGTTTTGTTGCAACAGTAGCAGTCTAATTAGAAATTGCAGTTCTCTGTTTCTAGCCTAACTTCAGTCAAGAGGTGAGCTGTAATCATTGCATCCAATTTCCCTGATCTTTATCAGGATTCTCTGCAGCTAACCTTACAATAACAGTTTCTGTTTTGGAAACCTCTTTGTTCAAATGAATCCTTCAGATTTTAATTCTTGTTTAAAAAAAAACCCTGAACAACAAATCATAAAAACTAAATCCTGTCTTCTGGGTATTTAGGAACTGAGAGAAAGCATCATAAATTGCTGTTGCTGTGCTGGAACAAAGGGTGAAAATTATCTTAATCTAGTTTTGGTCTTTGTTTTATGTTTGTCAAATAAAAGAAATAGAACAAAAAGAGAAAAGTTATAAGAAATGCTGACTGTTCTGGGATTTATTTCCTTTTGCAATTGAAAACTAGTAAACCTAGTTACCATGTGATTATCAAAAACCTGTAGCCTGTCAAAATATTATGGTACAAAATAAGATGGACAAGCCATTGCATCTGATGAATAGGAACAGGGAAAGGAAAACCAGGTTAGAGAAACAGAAGAGAAAAAAGGAGGAATCATTTGTTTCCTGGCAACTTTCTTGCAGTACCCTCCAGTCCAGGGATGCTTCTCTCTAAATTCATCGGATGTGACAGTGATGTGAAATTTTACAGCTTGTATCACAAGCTCTCCTTTTTGTTCAGACAGTCTAAAGCTCTGCTCTTGACAGCTGGGAAAGGAAACCCAGGAGGTGATAGGGCTTCACTTCTAATTGGTGATTTTGCATCTGTTGCTGGTGTTAGTGATGAATAGCCCAGAGCTGCTATTGTGGATGCTGGGGTGGCTTTTCTGCTGCACTTTCTCCTTCAGTCAGTAGGTACAGAGGGACCATTGGGGTTTTGTTTAAAGCCATCCAAATAGTTTCCTGCAGGTGCATTTCAGGAGTTTGCCAAATAACTTAAGCAAAGGCTATTGGGCAGTGCCTTCTGTCCACGTGGCTTTAGGTACAATATCTGAGTCGGGGAAGTCACAGTTCAGATTAGGGTTTGAAGAAAGACAAACAAAAAAAAGCAGCCAAAACACTACACCACCACCCAGAAATTAGACAGTGAGGCTTCAAATGTACACGGTGTTTGTTGTAGAATTCCTCTGTTTAAAAATGCTTTCTCATGACCTCTTGACTTAGTCTCTGCAGGAAGACCTGCCAGGAGTGCCCAGCTGGCAACCCTGATGCTGCTTTCCAGAGCAGAACTTCCTCCTTGAGCAGTGATGCCACAATGTCCTGTGTGCACCTGCTCCTTCTGAGGGAAGCCCACAGGAAAGGACAATGGCTGAGGGCTGTGTTGTGTCCCCACTGAAGTCCTGCTCCCAGGATCCTGGAAAATGGCTGATCAGGCTCAGGTGAGTTTTGCTGGCTTTCTCTAAGGTGATCTGTGGTGGGATGGTCATTGCACACTGAGCCCTGTGGGGCAGAGCTCTCAGGGCTGCCAACATCCTGTGTGCACCTTTCCTTCAGCTGGGGAAGCCACACAGCTGAGGAGCCCAGGTTGTCTGAGGTTGTGTGTGCATTATTGTCATGTGCTTCTCTTCTTTGTCATGGCTCTCACACAGAGTGAGACAGGAGGTGATTAATGAGCAGACAGATTTGTTTCAGGAGTAGCTGGGATAGTTCATGTCCCCTGTTGTGGTTCAAGGAAATCATCCCAGCAGATCTGGCAGGACATGCTTCATTCATCTCTTAAGGCTCATTATCTGAACAAGCTCACAGGAACGTGCCAGGGAATGCCTTGAGAACATGACAGCTCATTAATCATGTAGTCCTGCAATAAAAATAGACATCAAGTGCATTAATTACCCCTCAAACAGTTACATTTGTTGGGACTTTCTCTTAGCTGGTGTTGAAAGATGGTTAATTTTCCAGAAATAACACTCAGTTTGCCTCCTTGTTTCTAAATAATCAGTGAAGTTTTAACAGAAAAATATCTTGAGTAACAACATGTGTCAGTATAGATTAATGTGCTTGAAATTCTAAGTCAAATTCTGTGCTGAAATAATTATTCCTTTAAAATGGAGCTTGTTGGAGATTGTTTGCCTCCAATTTTATTACATGATACCGCTCTTAGAACTAAAGCAAAGTCATATGGAGTTAAAGATGCATAATTCAGAACATGAGGTGGAGAATGAGGAATATGTGCTGGGCTGCTGGTTCCTCTTTTGAGATACGTTTATAAAAAACTCCTTCCATCTTTTCCTTGGATGCTGATTTCCCTCTAGGAACTCTCACAGGAAGAGTAAACAAGGTGTAGGAAAGGCAGGGATGGGGGCTTGTGCCCTTAAAGCACTGTGGGTTTTTTTCCCCTTGTCAATCAGCAAGCCTCATAACCAAGCCAAAGTTGGTCTCCTTCACTGGAGACACAGCCTTTAAGGTGGTAGCAGAGCACACTGGTGTGCACCAGAAGAAGTGTAAAAGCCCACATGTCAAGGAGAGAACATGCTGTGGGCTGATAAGCTTTGAACAGGTTTTTCCTAAACAGTTCAGGGATTTTGGTGAGTCACTGGGGGCAAAGCTTGGTTCAGTTTCTGCATAGGCTGAATTTTTTAGCTACACTTGAAAAATTGGAAAAAAAGAAAATCAGATGTGTATAGATAAATTTTGGAATTGATACAGAGAAAAGTAAATTAATATTAAATGGAGAAATGTATTAAGAATGTAGGCTTGAACACATTAGGCAGTCATCACTGTGCCTGTTGGATATAAATCCCTTGGCCAGCTCTTAATTGTCATTCCTTCTCTGTGCAGACATCATTTCACATCATGAAGTTTGTAATCCTTTTGCCTGTGGCTTGAATAAAAGGCAGGATTCATTCCTTTGGCTCTTGCTGCCTTTATGGCATTTCTTTCAGTAGCATATTCTATGTTTAATGAGGCTCTGAGGTGCAAAATTTAAAGTGACATCCTGTTTTCATGCAGATTGCTAGCAAAGGGCCAAAAGTACCAGGAATTTACCTTAACTTCTGAGAACCAGCCTGGAACACGAGAACAGGAGAGTGGTTTAGGCACAGGTTTGGGTTTCTGGGACTTATGGGTGACACTGGTGGCACCTCACCCCAAAAACCCTGGAGTCATCCATGCCACTGGAGCTACAAGTCTGGCTCGGCAGCCAAGCTGGCATTGCCTGCAAGAAAACAGGCCACTCAGGGGGAAGAAGCAAACTGTGTATCAGCCCTAGGCATGAGTAGGAGCAGATGCAGTCATCATAGTGCAATCAGGGCTAATAAATTACTGGCAGACTGCTGCAACTCATTTGTGATTGATTTGATACAAACTTGGCTATTTATGTTTTCTCTTATGAACCTAGAGAAACATTTCCCTTCATTTGCTGCTTTTGATGGTTTATCAGTTCTGTGTTTGAGTCCAGGTCTTTAGATAATAGGGAAAAAACTCTGGAATAGGTGATCCTGGCTCCTGTCTGATAAGAGAAGCTGTTTGTTAGTCTGCAGGACCAATATGTATGAGTTTAGTGAGGAAAAACAAAGGGAAGTGTGGATGCATTGATGTTTCCCTCTGGCTTTTTCTCCCATTTTCTTTGAAAGTAATATCTTCCAGTACCAGAGCTGTGAGCTGTGGAGGGGTCAAAAGGACTGGGGGAGTATCAGCCAGGAGAGCAAAGGATAAAGAAATAAAAATGAACCAGAGTGATTGAAAGAGTAATCGGATTTATTTCATTTTAAACCACTCAACCCTGATGCTGTAACATGAAAGGCCCAACAGAAAAACAGGAGCAAGAGCAATGTGCAGAGCACAGCAGCAGGAATTAGCCAAGGCATTGGGCCACGTTAGAGGGGGGTCTGTGTAAATCTGGATTTGGTGCTCCTGCCCAGGCTGTGGTCCCTTGGATTCACCACTGATGTCTGCTGGAGGAGGAGACTTGAGCTCTGTCCCTCTGAACACCTGCCATGAGCATTTGGATCTCTCATAGTTACAGGATTCTGTGCTGTGGACATTAAAGTTTATTTTATGAAATCATTCAGAGATCTAACAAGACAAGGGTTCAACATGCAAATCTTGCATAAATGTGTCTAGCAATGACTCCACACAGAATTGTTGCTGTGATGCTCCCTGTTTGCTTTAAGCAGCAGCACATAATGAATTCAGGCACAGAAAAATGACTGTATTAATGCACTAGGAACAAATTTAGATACTTCATGTGAAATCAGTGGAAACTGGAGATGTGTTCCCACCATACTGCCTTTACCAAATTCCTTTGTAAATAACCTGTTTTTTTAGTTTCTGGTGGTGTTGAACATGACCCAATTTAACTACATTGATTTTACTGTTTCATGATAGAAGCCTGGAGATTTGTTAGTATTTTCCTCTCACTCTAAAATGGTGTCATAATTTTGTATGATTCTGTACTGTAAATTGGTGTTTATTCCTCAGAAATGGATGCAGATACTCAGCACTTGGTAAGTCTGATCAATAGGATATGAAAGCACTGGATGATTCCTGGAGGTAAGGAATGTGTTTGATTTATGGGATGGTGATGTCTGTCACCTCCAGCCTATTGCAAGACTCTAACTCTGTGTTTCTACTTTCAAGCTCAGGTGAAAGTTTTCTGTACTTTGAAGTTGATTAATACCTCATTTTCATAGCCTGTGAATTCATAGTAATTTCATTTTGTAATAGGCTTCATGCAAGTTGAAGGAGACTGATTTATTTCTTTTATTATTTGTTTTCCTTGTGCAAAATGCAAAGAATTCTGAAAAGCAGAGATAATCACTGTACATTTGTATGTTAATGCTACTAGGTAATCATCTTGAAAGACTGGATATGATGAACACCTTGAATGATAAACTGGGGAAAATGCACAACACTTGACAGGGAGGGACAGGTCTGATACAGCGTGAAAACATCTGGTCAGGAAATTGCTTTTCAAACACTGAAAATTATAAGCAATTATCAAGTGTTTTACCTGACTGTACTCACAATTCTGTTTTAGTGACACTTGAGCTGATATTATGCTGCATTTCTCAGCAGTCTGATTTTTGGATAATCACCCTAGATCTGTGTTTTGCACTCTTCCCTCTTCCTGCTTGATGTGCACAGCAAGTGCTTCCCTGGTGCAGTTGAAGGGGCAATCAAGGCTGCAGATGAAATAAGGCACCGGTGACAATTGAGAAGAGCTTCATTGGCAATTCCCATCAGTGAGGGGTCTGACAGGATATCCAGGTGGATCAGCTCCATCTTGAGCTGAACTTCCAGGGAGGGGACCTGCATGTGCCACTTTTCTTAGCATGAGCTGGGTTCCTGTCAAGAACTTTCCTCGGGGTGAATGGATGGACTTTGGGGTGTGAGGAATTGCCAGAATGTGGTGGCAGAATATTGTACTGGCTTATAATAATAATTAAAGAGGACAATTGTCTGTGATACCCAGCTGCAAACCCTGCATGAAAAGAAAGGGCAGCTCCAGCCTTTCCATACCCATTAGTGCATTTTATTTTTATTGCAGGAGTGATAGGGACAGAGCCAAAGGATGCTGGGTTTCCTTTGACTCAGAACATTTACAGCCCATAAATCCTGATGCTGTTTCAGGCTTTGGAATATTGTTGTGAACCATTGGTGATTTTTATTGTGCTAAGAACCCTTTTCCAGTAGCTCGCCTTGGACACTCAGTAGAAAACTGCCTTTCCATCTCAGAAAAGGAGCTTCCTGTCTCAAATCATTCCAGGACACACCATAAAACTGACATCCCTGGTGGTTGTTTGCTCACCTCAGAGATGAAAGCTGCCGTAAGAAAAAATGGCACTCTGTCCCTCAGGAAGCAGGTTCAGAGTAGGTCAGGTCCTGACATTCTTACACAGCTCCAGGGAAAAAAAAGGATGTAAATCAGGTTGGTTTGTTAAGGAAATGAGGTGAAATTTCTCCTCAGGTGGTGACAGTGCTTCCCTGGCACCTGCCCTTAAGCTGTGTGAGATCTGCCCTCTAGCAGAGCTCCTCACAGGATTTTATCAAGTGCTGCTGTTTGGGTGAACCTCCTCACCTGACACAAGGTGAGGGCCATTGGGTACTGGAGATCACACAGGGACACAAAATGTTATTGGCTTTTATTTTAACTCCAGGCACCATGACCTCATAGGAGAGCTATACCTTCCTAGTCTGGTGCTTTCATCATGCTAGAAAACCCTGTAGGGTTTAGTTTGAAATT